AAAATGTAATTTATGTACATATTTTCTGTTCAATACTTCTTACAATGCAATATAAATATAGTTTTCATTTTTAATTGGAATTTGTTTGCCTGTGAATAAATATTAAAGTTGTGTTCAAATATAACCTATGCTTCTATAAAACATTGTAATTTCATAAAAAAAAACCTTTCAAAATAAAAAAAACATTAATGAAGATTTTAAGCCTAATTATAAAACATCCCTGTGTCGACCTAGTATATATATTTTTAAAAATTATTAGGGGTGCATTTGTCTTTCAAACAGAAAAGCTTTATTTTCTTATGTAGTTTCAAATTAATTGACATCAATAATTTCCTTGGTAATGCTTTAAGGTTGATGTACCACTAAAACTTAGTTTTAATTTTTTTGATATCCCCAAGAGTTACAAAAAAAACCGGATATTGAAAAGAACCTTATTTTGTTACCATAAGTGAATGAGTGGTAAAAACGAATGAAACATTATCTTCTTCATGTTGTATAAGCATTGTGGGTTTCATGTAAAGTTAAATGATTTGTAATGTAGTATACACACTAAAATATTTCTGTAAACAAATAAAGTTATGTATATAATTGATGTAAAATCTGTTTCATGCTTCATCCTTTTGGGTTTCAATCACTTTTAATAATGTACAGCTTATTCAGTGTTACTTCTTTGTAATTAGGACTAATGTCTATTATAATTTGACCTTTCTGAGTCTTTAGAATTCCATTAGTTGTTTTAAAGGAGGTGTTTATCAAATGTAGCCTACTTGAAAAGGTTGTAATGACTATGTTAAGAAACAATGAAACTAGTACCTTAAGGTTATCATCTTTATTGTTTAAACTGTTTTGCTTGAATATTTGGTAGTAAATGATTAACCATGTACAGTAGTGTAAAACACGTTCGGAATACAATGTTATTCATGTCATAAATAAATCAAGTTTTATGAATAATAAAGTTTTTAAATAGAGTGATTCATTACATAAATTAAAAGTGGGTTCAAGTGCACAAACAAGCCTACAAAATAGGTGTCAAGCATTCTGGAAACACCTTCAGAAAAAACAAATGCATTTTAAACATGTTTATTGCAGAAGCAAGGTATACTAAGTTGGCAGTTTTCTAAGTGTTGCTATCAGTCTTAGAACTGTAGTTGTTGCCATGTTTTTTTTCAGGAGATAACGAAACTTCTTTATGATTTAGTCACATGATGCTGCTGTAAAAGAGAGATCGAGATAAATATGTACAGTTTATATTTTTTAACTTCTTGTATATTTATTTGTAGTTATATCTTTGTTTATGTATTCACATAAATGTCTGTTTAAACTCTGTGTTGAAAAACATTTCTTATTCCTTAGAACGTCTTACGTTATTATCAATGCTTTTGAGTTTATGAGCATTGGAATTAGTTTAATTTGAAGTTTACTTCTGAAGAGAAAGCAGTTATAAATTTTGAAAATTGTGTCTAAATCCTAAAAATAAATTAATGTGTTACAGCTTGGCGTGTGTTTTAGTTCAGTGGTAGTTAACTACTATCCTTTCCTGTGGCATTAATGTTGTTTCTTTTCTAATGGAAAAAAATTGTATTAACTTTTGTAACAGTTGCATGAGTGTAATTTATCAAGTTGATAACTTTTAGGTTTTGAAACTTTATGGATTATTAAAGCCTATATTATTGTCAATATACTCAATTCTTAATGTTTAAACTTTTTTTTCTCTAGTTTATTAAACTTCTCTTTATTTTACAGACTAGCAGCTCTGCGAAATTGAAAAATCACCACCACGTTCACTGTATTTCTTTGCACTGCAAACTATTAAGTATACATAAAATGTGAAGGTAATCTACAACTTTATCTGTAAAACTGTTTACATTTATGACTTTTCAACATTGGGCAAGCATTTGGGGGGGGGGGATTCATGGTAGATGCCTTGGTTACGATTGAGAAACTGAAAACTTTATCCTTCTATTAAAAAGGGAATGTGGTATCAAAAGAATTGCTCCCAGAGTAGAAAAATTACGCTTGCATATAACAGGAGTCTCACGGATCTCGTATGCAAGTGTTTATTTACTAATGAATGCAACAGCTTGGCCACAAAGAATGAGACAGTATACAGATGTTTACAGAGAACAAATGTTTAGTGAAAATGTCCACAACTTACTCAACAAACGAAAATACCCGATAACAATTCAATGTAATACTACACATTATAAAAGGGCAAGTGGTGGTGTGTGGAAAAAACGAAAAATGCAACCAACCGGAGAGACGACTTTACTGAACAAAGATACATTAGAATATAACCAAGTATTATTTTGAGAGAATGTTCCAAAGCTTAATGTGAAGCAGTAGAGAACACTCAGTGAAATTCCAGTTCTCAGATGGTTATGCCACAACAACAATAACAAAACAATTTGTATTCTCAATTAACACAATGTTTACTCAAAGGTTAACTTACAATACTACTTACTAAGTCTACGGGCACAATCCAAACGCATGCACATATGAAAATGTAAGCTAACTTTAAAGTTACAACAAACCATGCAGAGTTCTTGGTGAGTAAGTGTGACTACAGTGGAGGGTGAGAATGTAACGAGTTCTTGCTAAATTCATTGAAACACTACATTTAAATCCAAACAAAATCTATGTAAGAAAACTGTACAAAACTATATAAAATTATGCTTAAAATGTGAGGGAAGCCTGGGTAAAAGTATCCACAAAAAATCTATGTAAACTCTGTTCAAAGTAAAATCTGCTCTTTTAGATCCCAACACTGTTTTAAATATGAAAATAAACTCCCAAGTTTCTGACACAAGAAGACAGTGATTGGTGCTAGAACTATTCAGCTAGCAGGCAGTGAAGATCATGATGACTCCACCAGCAACTACTGCCTAATTAACCAACAAGAATAACTCCATCTGCTAATTAAAAGGTATACAGTTAATCCTGCAGAAGGATCAGACATGAAAATGTCCAATCACAACTTGACCCAGTTAGTCCCTGGGAAAGAATTAAAGATAGAAACTTGTTTGACCGAAGCTACTGTCCAATTCTGGGAATTATGCAACAACAGCAGAATTTTGAAAGCTTGGCTTTTAAACTAAAAGGAGTAGAAAACATGTAGTACAGCAAAGTACTACAGAAACAAACAAAAGTAAAATAAAACAGAGACGTAGCGGAAGATTCAATAATTGGGTTGGCTTAGTTTGCACTAAATTATGAATTATCATATCTTTAGGAGTATATTTAATAGATTACATGTTAGTTCACGCCAACCAGGTATGATGTAAAAGTTACAGTAATATAAGATACACCAGTGTATAAGACGCACCCTTATTTTGAAGACAAAGTTATAGGGGAAAAAAGCTACAGTCGCATTTCAAAGATTTTTATTGAACAAAAATTCAATTTGATACTTTAAAAATTAGTATATATTGTTCTAAACACAAAAGAGCTCAAAACATCAAATGCCGTAAATCAAAAAAGGTTTACTGTTATTTAGTTTGGTTCAAAATCTTCATTGCTTTCACTGTAATTTATTTGTTTACTATTCAGGAAGCTTTATAAATAGTTATGTTTTTAAAAGAAAA